AACTTATCAAAGGCATGGCTCGCACGGCTCCGACATCGTGGCATCATGCAGTGTAAGAATTGAGTCATTACTTTAGTAAACTCACTACAGTGTTGAGTAAGTGAATTCGAGAGGAAAACTCGCAGGCCACTTTACAGACGATTGGTAACGTTGGTGGCAAATCAGTGGAGAGAAACGGAGACTCGCCGACGAATTTCCGAAATAGCTTGGCGCGCTCTGCCAAAAGCGAAAATTGAAACGATGCGTATAGGAATCTCCACGTAAGCACTTCCTTCAACTTAGCTTAGTTGCAAAAAATAAGGCAGATTTTTTTGGGTGACTTCGTGAAACTTGCTGTTTTGTATATGGCTATCAATCCAATGGATTAAGGGCACTGAAAAACGTATGCATTGTATTGGATGCGAACATGAACAACGACTTCCGTGATCTTCCGCAAAGATTTCACTTGGAATCGGTTGACTTCTGGTTGCAGCGTTTTGAAAAAAAACGTTAGTTTTTTGGCAGCAAATGTTGCGCATTATGAAAAAAATCTTTTGATCGTGGTTTTATTCAACGTCCCAGGTTGGCAAAGCTTATTATCCTTGCATAGTCGTCAGGTTCATACCAAACTTGTTAATGAACGAAAGTAAAACACCGGTTTGATATAGCCTGTCCCAAGTCACTAAATTTATATTCATTTACCTCCACGATGCTTATGGCGTTTTGCATGGCGTCTTCATAAGTAATAAGTCACAGCAGAACACTTTAGGCTTTTTGTATGCATAATATTGAATGTAAGGCCTATAGAGTGGTTTGTGGAGGCCGACTGACTTATTGAATCCATGTCTTCAACGCGATGAAGATTCTCAATTGCTCTGAATATTGCAATTATCGATAACATTTCTTTTGTGAAGACTAAAAAGAAATTATGCCAAAACTCCTGATTTTTCTTCCCCCTTTGATGATTTTCGCCTTTTCCAAATAAAATAAAGGTATATCTGTTCATGTAGAGTGATGTACAAATCTTCTGCGTTTACTGGGACCCGAACCACATTCTACCCAATCCGCGGGCGCGTGCTCGGACCGCTGAACTAACAGCTATTGGGTATTAGGTGACCAAACAGAAATCCTTATTCTAACCGGTTCTAGCGGTGGCATGATGTTATAAATTATCGCGCGCTTTGGACCAAGTGAAGTGTGGGTTTGAGTCCCAGCTAAAGCGAAAGTTTTGCACATCACTATACATCAACGGGTATATTTAAGACATCATTGCACCGCTAGAAGTGGTTAAGTGAAAAGGAATTCTGTTTGAAACGAAGGTAATTAATCATGATATGAGATTTGGCGAAGAGATGAAGTTTCGCAGGCTGTTGCCTACAACGGGTAATTCTGTTTATAATTGTTTGTGTCTGGATCAGATATACTATTGCGTCGCAGCAGAACACGGTCGTGGTTATGAGAATTTGACGCGAATAGGTCTAAGTAGACAGAGAGGAGGCTATGATGGGCGATGTCGAACGGGGGAAGCAGCAGTTGGGACTTTAATTTTGGTGTCCTGGGCGAGTCTATATGCGGAAACAGGACCAAGAATTTTGCCCACTGAAACGCTACTGTACTACAGACACTGTGATTCAGAATATGACAAAGCTACAGCTATGTATTTGTATGGAAAGTGAGAGCATCAGATAGCTGCAGCTGTGTGCTTACCTACATTTTGTATAAAATGGCACTTCTGACACTTCAATGATCCGTCTTCACAGTGTTCTTATCAATGTGCGGATCCAAGTACTTCTAGCATTCGACTCGTATTTTCGTCTTCTCTTGAACGCCGTAGAAAACTGGGTGAGCTCGTCTCCTTGCAGTCTTGAGGACAACCTGGCTGTGGTGGTCTCTAGGGCTTTCGTCGTTGATTGTCGGGGAGACTTGAAATGGGGTTCGGTCCTGCGTGGTGTCGCGACGAGACCACTTGGCCACGCTCCCCTTACCCCACCCCAATTCCCTGTGATTACAAAAATTAATCGTGAAGCACTTGTAGTTCATGTACATTCAGCTCGAAACACCAAGCTCTAAATCCAAACAAGCATCGGAAACGGCCATACAGCTTGATGGTGGTGTTAATGCTACTGAATTGTCTTCCGAATTGATTCAAGCGCAATCGCCTACTTCGGTGATTGATTTGGTGGGTTTTTTTTTTTAGAATTTTGAGCCGCTCCCATTCGGCTTCCCCAGTCGTCTTTTAATCCACATCGGTTACTTTCAATAACTAATAGAACCAGGCCTTATATGTATCAAGTTTCTATTGACAATATTACGTGCTTTATGATGTTTAAGTGTGCTTTTCAGTCACAAGTTTACTTACGTACATTATTGGAGTTTCTTTTACAATACTACGCTGACTGCATAACTTGTCTCACACCTGGTATAGTAGCGTTGTTTCCTGTCCTTCTTGACTATGCTAATGAAGGTGACGATAAGTGAGTTTTGTAAGTGTTAGAGAAGAATAATGAAATGTGAGCATAAGCGGATTGTAAGCATTCTAGGATTTATGGTTCGTTTAAAGACATGGATATCACTTATAATGCTAGTTTACTTATTCATGAAGAAATGTCTAGTTTACAACTAACGCCAAAATTTGCCGATTCGTTTTTAGACGCTGTTATTCAGGTTTGTCCATCTCTAATAATCGTACAGATTGCAAATGATAACTACAAATGTGATACCTTTAGCCGTTTTACAATTCTTATTTATGGCGAGTTAAAATATCAGTGTTGAAGTTTATCCAAGTCTTGGTTTTTTCCAATATATATGAACTGGAGAAAGGAACCCGACCTGAGAAAGTCCTCAAACTTCTCTACGACGCTATCATTGACCCTCAGGTGCGAATGCTTTTCTCGATGTAAAAAAAATACACTTTCTGCTCAACGAGAGAGTTTTCTCTTGTTGATATTCGTTGATTATTTAGATAGAAGTGCGGAGAGAAGCGTCCGGAGCATTGCTTACTCTCATTCTCTGTGAATACGTCAAAGTCAATGACGATCTTTCAGTGAGTCCACATCCGTTGTATCAGGTAAAAGTAACTTTCAGAGATATCCACTGATGTTTTATAGAAATACTTGGACAGCCTGATGAAGAACAGGAAATTATCCACTTTACATGGAGCAATACTTGGAATGGGTGCCGTCGTTCGGGCTCATCCGTTCTCTATTCCGTTGTCAGTTAAGCCAATGTTGACAGCGCTGTGTGGAGTTACCAGTCATAATGCTGAACTTCAGGTAAAAGATCGTAAGTCATGTACATTTTTGTACTGGACGATCCATAACTTCGACGGACGAGTTTATCCGTTGGAGAATGTCCTTTAGAATACAAAAACATGCCATTCTTAAAAACATTGTCAATGTCTTTAAGAAGGCTGCTACAAGTGCTTTACGTGAATTTCGTCGTACCCATCGTGACAACTGGGAGAAGGTGGAGAAAATACTCGGATCCGATCTTGTATATAAAATAGAAAACGCTATTGCACCAGTCTACTATGCTTAATGTCTGAACACTTATTAGTCTAATAATCTTCTCGCTGTATAACATTCAATTTCTTGCGCGTGTTACACATGTAATTTTTTTGTTTTGTAATCATTACAATTGTACTTTTTTGTGCAGTTGATCTGTGGGCATCAATAAGTCCCAGATCCAACGAGTGAATTGTAAAAATTTACCTACCTGATAAATTTCATTTGAGAACAAGAAAATCGTGTATTTCCATAAACGTGATTCGCTTTATGAGCGATTGGTGAGGACTTCCATTGCGACGATCTTAATAAAGCTTTAGAGATTTCTCAAGCAATACTATGATCCACCATAGCACGCTTTTGTTTCACTGTGATGAAGTTCTAGAAATACCTAAACAATACTACAATTCACTACTGACCCGTTCGCACAGCCGTTTATGGTTTTAGGAAATCTTTTCACTGCTTTTTGTAGGCAGGCTTTCACATCAGCTTTCTTGCACTCTGTGTTTATCACTGCTGCCGTTTTCCTCCTAAATCATGGTTTTTCACTTTTGAGAGTGACACTGAGTGACTATATCTTCGTTCAGTCAATACATTTACGCACCGATACTGCCTCCGATGAGTAATGACTTCTTGAGTCAAATCGCAAATTATTGCTGTAGGGATAACCCCTAACCTCAACGGTTCAGTCACTTTCGTTGAGGTTTTCAAACACATCAGGAGAAATGGCCACATGTCTTCTGATTTATCAACAGTTAAGAAAAAATCTTGCAGAACCTTATTTATGAGACTTTGAAAGGTGAATATGGTCACAGAGCACCTGAATTGTAGTTTGGTGGTGCTATGAATGTTTGTTGTCTCAGAAATTTCTACTTTTCCACTTGAGAAAAATACTGATTCGATATACCTATCGAATCTCGTGTAATTGTCATGTACAGGACAAATATTTAACGAAAAAAAGTGAATGCCATACACGGAGAACGCCAAGGTGATTATTTCCCAACGAGGTGATTGAATCCCACATAATGTCCATAAAAACTTCAACCATGCGAATCTGTGCCTGCAGGTCAGAATGATGAATTCAGAGCAAGAAGAAGCAAGCGACGTGGGAGCCTCGTGAGCAACGAGGGTGGAGTGGAAAAACGACACTACCCTGCAACGATCCAAGATTCTTCCTGTCTTAACTAGTGCCGAGAAACTTGATTGCCATACAAGCTTTATGAACGATCACACGTCGTTATCGAATGCATAGTCGAAAGAAATTCTGGTGGTATCGTAAATCACACAAGTGGCAGAAAAGATTCGATGTACCGTTCTACGTGAAAGTAATAAGAAAGAGTCTCTTCTACAGGTCAAACTTTGAAAAATCGTGAGGGGTTTCAGACACGTGACACATCCGAATGGCAACCGACGAAGAAGGGTCGCTCGCGACTGGATTTAGCCGGATATCGAGAGCACAACATGAAGGCCATTGTGGCCAATACATACCTAAGAGATTTGACTAGTAAGCATGAACACGGCCTCAGGCGGGAATCGAACCCGCGTTTCCACCATACCGGGGACGCGTGTACTACCACTACACCAGCGAGGCACATTTGCACCATCACTCGGCCTTCAACATCTCTATGTTATCTATCGGCCATCAACCTCTAACAGGCTTGATCGGTTATGCGATTTCGCTCCATAAACCAGTTAAGCTGACAGCCATTGTAATAAATAATACTCAAAATTTCCAGTATTTTTACTGCATTTTTCGCAGTGTTATCATGTTTCGTGTATACCTAATAGGGGTGGGTGGCAAGCAAAAACACACTCTCAGGCGAGAATCGAACAGGCGTTTCATCCATATCAGGGACGCGTGCTACTACCACTACACCCCAAAGGCAAAGGCACACCAAAAAATACAGTAAAAACACTGGAAATTTCTAGCACTGTGGTCAGTGTTCTCCACGGTGATCAACAAGGGCATGTTACTAGCGAAAATTATTTGTTTACTCATTTAAGCAATAAAGACAAATTTAGAGTTTACTAGCTTCTGTTTGAGCTGCTCAGTAATCAGAGAGAGGGCACGTGAGGATGGCACAAGGGACATTGTCGTCAGTGGTCAAGTGAGAAGTAAAAGCACCAACTATTTATTCCTCCCGCCTTGCACCAGACAGACTCAGTTGGCAAGTACCGCTCGATACATGCGTGATACATTATCACAAGTTAGTGGGTGTGTATAACTCATGAGGGTGTCGTCAGACATATCATGAAGTGGAATTATACAGCAATGATATATAAGATTTCATTGTTGGAAGCGATCTCCATGCGATTTTGTTTTCTTAGTATTTGAAGGTTTTTGGCCTACTTAACATGTGAGAAAAACCTTTGTTATCATGGATATGATAATCGTCTCGCGATAGTAAATATATGTGAAAAAATTCTGATCATAGTATCAAACTTGGATCAGTAATAACTGGGCTAACAAACTGACCAAGCGGCAAATAGCATCCATAATGGGCAAGAATAAAAACTAAGCAATAAGATATAAATGTGAGGAGTGACATATGTCAGAAACGCAATATTTGTGCATGAAAGGAGACGTATTTAATTACAGATCACGATTAAGAAATCAAAATATCTGAGTAATTTCCATCCATTGAGCATAGTAAATAGGAGTTATGGCAATTCTCATTAAGCATAGTAGACAGGAGCTATGGCATTCTCAATCTTATAGACAAGTTCTGAGCCGAGTAACTTTATTGTCTTATCCCAGTCTTCTCGATGACTGCGCCGGAACTCTCGAAGGGCAGTCGTTGCAGCTTTCTGAAGAAAAGATTGATTTTAGCGTCCTTCCTCACTCGGTATGAAATTTTGAAGGAAATAGGTACATGTTAAACGATGAGATACCTCTGACATAAAATTTCTACCTACAATCTGATAAGGACATGACATGTTTTGAGCTGTTAGGTCTAGTGCTATACAGGTTCCTGTTTCGCCCTATTGGAACTCATCAGTACCACCCTCCCTCGGTTCAGCCGGTCCCCTGAGGTTAAATAATCCTCAATAAAAGAATCGACACCGGGCAATGAATTACCCCAAATCAGATGATGGAGTTACCTGACAATGTGGTGAGCGGCAGCCGAGCTCGTAGCTAATACAATGAATTATACCTCTTCTATCGACCGCTTTTTATAGATCCGCTCAAAATGGTATAATCTTATAAGGATCTAACATGTTTTGAGCTGTCTGCCTATAATTACCATTAAACCATCGATGACGTCCAAGCGGCAGGGTAACATTTTAGGCGTGAAATGTGATGCTCTTTTCGCTCTTGCAGCGTATTATGATAATAAAAAAAACACCCAACTACATCATCTGAATCCTTGAAATTTTGGCCATAGAATGACTAATGAAATCCTGATGAGAAGCCATATCAAAGCATCAGCCGAGCAAATGAGAAAATCAAACGTGAAACATAATTTTATTTCCGGTGTTACAACGTATTAAAAAGTCTTCACAAAAATCAAACATATCGTTTAAATTTATCAAGATCTAAGCTCTCGAGTGGTTACCAAATGTCTAGAAGAAAAGTTTTGTCCAGCTAGAAAGGTCAGACATACTGAAGAGAATTGAGTGGTGAGCAAAAATTTGACTACAGACGGGAGTTGCATCCGCGTTTCATCCATAGCGATGGCCTCTGTGATGTAGTGGCGGCACTACTCGGTACGGATGAAACACAGGTTCAACTCCCGTCTAAGATCGTATCTTTGCTTACCATTCAATTCTCTTAGGTGTCCTCAAAACACTATATCACTGCGAAAAGCAGCGAACACATAAGATATTTGAAGGGCTTCAAACAGCCGTGTATCTCAGCTGGTGCACGTCGTCCCTTAGAGTTAACCACACTCAAATTTTGATATGCGTGATAGTTAATTTTGAGCCATGCATGTGGTCTGTTATGCGCACTTACACAATGCAATACACGTGTTTGGACCTTGCGACCTGGCCAGTTCCGCGGTGCTTTTTCATTCACTCATTTCGTCGTTATCTACGCCTTACATAGAGGACTCGACTATGAACGCTTTACATATATATTTCACCATTATCATCCAAAAGCGATCGGGTGTAGAACATTGCCCACTTGGTGATTCTACATTTGACCGCGAGTGTGGAACATTCTTCGCCAGCTCCTCTAAGTAAGGGGTAGATTCTCCAGGTACTGAGTGAACGAAAACGGATAGTGCAACTAACGAGGCTGCAAAGCCGAAACACGTGTATTATTGCACTGTATAAGTGCCCATAACAGACCTCATGTATGGCTCAAAAATAATCACAAGGCATGTTGAAATTTGAGCGAGGTCTTGGAAAACACCCGGAACGAAGTGTTAATATATGCAATCTATTCAGTCAAAGTTGTGGATAAACTAAATAGAAAATATTAAGTAAAAATTTAAGCTGCCCGAAAAATAGAACGGAACATCATGAAAGTATTTGGCTCACGATGTGCCACGACCGTACAATGCAGTCGTGAGTGAAGTAGTTTCGTGAAGGAGACGTATCTCAACAATACATAAATCGCAGTTACTTTTGTACTGACCTCATCAGAAGCCATAGAAAAAGCAATAATCAAAGCTAATTCTCTTAAGACTACGCGAGATATTGCAAAAAAAAACTCAGGATTTTCCTACCAGGAGTGGCTGAGGTTTTAGCACGGTCTGAAGCCTCAATAACTTCTGCACAAGCCTAATACATTCAAACAAAACTTCAGAGAAAAGAATCATAATCTCAAACGCTCTTAGATTCAATTCCGACAGAGCAGTATGAGTTCAAAATTAGTAAAAGACTACCGATATTCGAAGAACATTTTCGGCATTAATATATTCTGAGAAGATGTTTGTTAGAAGTGGAAATGAGGTGAACACGTACATTTGAAGAAGCATTAGGATGTAGACGTCATGATAAATTTATTGCATCGGCATTTTTGTTCGATCAAAGCCTTCCCGTGTGATTGTAATGCAATTATATTACAGTGAACAGGTTGCGAACAAGACTACTTGCTTGCCTTTATGGATTGACGAGAATTGCTCTCCATGACTAGTTTTTTTACCAGGATCACAATACAGTTTTATCTCTATCTGATCTTCGCGAAAAAAAAATCAGTGCACATATGGAAACGAGAAAAAAAGATACCGAGCACTCGTCTTCAATTTTTAACCTCGTTTGAGGTGATTGAATGCATTTTGGCCTTCACAATGGCTCAATGAGGCCTACCCCTGCGTCGCACCAGCGCTGCTTATCCTTTCAAATGAGCCTATACCAACTTAACAACGCCGAAGGGTGGTTGGCTTGTGAGCTATGAGCGCGAGATCGAACCATCGACCTTCTACGCAGCACGCACGAACGAGATAGTTTCGGATAATCACTATAATTGAAGAGTATCTTCAAGTACTGCGAATACAAGCGAAATTTTGCAAATTTCACGGATGGGCTGATTAATAAACACGATTTAAATGATTTATGGAATGTTAGATAACAAGATTACTTGCCTGTAACTCGGCACTGTGAGTATTGACAGCGCATAATGACTGTAGCAATGGAATTATGAATGGTGGAGTGGAGTATGGATGTGCCATCACAATCGCTCCCATACCAAGTACAGCACCGTGCATCATAGCTCTATCGTCACATGCGGAAAACTTCCGCAATTGCTCCTGCAACGACCCGAGTGAATCGCAGCCTTCGTGCAGAAGCGTTGAACGATAGGTTAACCACTTTTTATTTCAATGACTTCGCTTGCATATTTTCAGAAAAGTTCAAAATGATCTGAATTAAAACTGCTCACCACGAAGTAACAATCAACTTTCATATATTCGCAATGAACAAGAGTCATCATGCATCGTGAAGCTTCCATACGCACTTCCACCTGCACGAGCTTGTTTTATTGGAATATTTTCTCCAGCTGGAGCTACCACACAAAAATATGAACCTGTCGATCTCTAAGCGCTTTTAGAAGGAAGCGCACCACGCTTTTCTGTCGTTGCGTAACTTCTAAGACATAAATATTGGCAAAGACGATCACTTGTAAGAATTTCAGCACCGACACTCGCACACGCCAGGCGCTCAACTGATGAAACGTCTGAACGGAAACGCTTTCTGGACCCTTAAGCACAATTGATATCTGTTGATTTGAGCTCAACTAGGAAACTTTGATCAGCAATAAATCATTGAAAAGCACTTCGCAATGAATTTCGTCTCGAAATCAGGGAACACTCATAGGTGACAATGAGGTAGTGAACTATTGCTAACATGGTTTTGACTCAGCTAGAATATATATGGAACTCTACCCTTTCAAAGAGAAACGTTTTCAAGTACATATTCAAGAATTTTTTTGATTTCTGACTGATTCTGATATTTCCCAGCCTGCTTACATTAATGACGACGTCAAGAAATGAGTCGGCAAACTTCTCGGTGACCAGAAGACTCGACATATACTCATGCACTAACATACTGGCATTATCCTTGATATCGACATCCTTGATTGCGTCAATGTGCCTGAAATCAAATGTTTTAACAACGATAACATCTTGAACCTTGACGACCTTCAAC